GTATCCGAATGGTAGCTAAAAACCAAAATTGTCCTAATGTAGCAGAACAGAGAAAAGCTAAAAAATAGTAAAATGCTAGCTCAAAGCAGCAAAAGGTTAGCTAAAAGCTTAATGTAAAAAATGGCTAGTTATCTGTGTCAAACTAGTTAAAAAATGAGTCAAACGACAATTTGTTCACATTTCAGCTTTTTGGATGTCACTGGGCTCGAGACATTGCTGCTAACAGAGAGAGCTGTATTTCCACTTGTGTTCTGCAATAACTGGCGCCTCGCCTGAGTCCTCCACCGAGCCATCGTCTCTCCTCTTGGCGTGGCGGTGGGAGCGAGGGGCGCACTGAAATCCTCGTGCGGTTTGAAGCTCCACTGTCTCAATAGATGGAAACCTCTCCCATTTCTCCCGTACGCTCTGGGGACAGACGAGGATGATGGAAAACACGTGTAATGACTTATTCTGGCTGACTTGGCCTCGGTTCGGACAAGATTGGTTGCAGATGGTAGCTCCAGTCGCTCCCTCTCCATTACCGAGGGGATGGTTTGGAGACAGACTACAGTGGAGCACTCAGTTCCTTGTTGTGCTTCTTAAGCCCCACTGGGAGGAGGACTGGCGCACAAAATGCATGCAAGCTTAGGAAAAATGATGGATTAGAGTGTCTACTCTTATTTTATTGTCCACTGACAAAAAGCAAAAATGGACAATTGTGTTTTTGCCCATGTGCTTGTGTATTCATGATTTGATTGTTGGCAAAATATCTCATAAACCAATGGACATAATTTAATGAAAACTAACTGATTATCTTGGAGAGTCAACCCAGTTAAAGATGGCCACCACAGTGCACTGACTAAAAATGGCTGTAACTCGGTTAATTTTCTAGATATTGAGCTAGAATTGGGTGTGGTAGTAGCTGAGGATCATTCACAACACATGCTATGACGTGCTTTGCTTGGCATTAACTCCTTTAAGGAATTATGTGCCTTTATTTTCATGTTTTGAATGGAAACGTTAGTTTAAGTTACAGTAGGTGTAATGTTGTTTGTGGAAAGAAAATGTTTGCATTTGCAAACAGAGAAGTCCTAGCTGCGTTAATGATTCATGAGCCTTAATCATACCAGTCACTTTTGGATCTTTCAGCCTCATGAAATATTCACACGGCCTGAAATTGAACAGTTGGGAAACGTGCATGCGAACGTGTCCTCGTCCAGCCTCGCTCCTGTTTGTTTTGCAACAATATGCTCATGTGGTTTAGGAAATCAAACCAAACTGCGTCGTATGAAAAAACACAGGCCCTGATCAGCAGCGCTAAAGGGATGAAGGTGACGTACATCCAGACACTTCCTCTCTCCTTCGCATCCAGCCCAGATCTCAGGCTGGGTTTTAGCCACAGAATGTTCAGATTCAAAGTGAGCGCTGAGAGCCGAATGACTGCTGAAACTTGCTGAACAAGCTGAAATTAAGTTGGTCAAGCTAAAAGCAGCAGAACACTATAGCTTAAAGAAGCTAAACACTAGCTAAAAGCCGAATATAGATTTTTAAAAGTAGCAAAATGCTACCTAAAAGCAGCAGAAAACAAACGGTCTTGAAGCTAAAATTAGCTAAAAGTATCAGAATGGTAAATAAAAGTTAAAAGGAGGAAAAATATGGTTAAAAACAGAAAAAAGTCAGCTAAAAGCTAATGTAGAAAATGGCTAGCTAAAAATAAGAAAAAGACTAGCTAAACACTACAAATAGCAAAGTGTTAGCTAAAAGTAGCAGGATAAGTGCTAAAAGCTAAAAGTTGCAAAAGACAAGCTAAAAATAACAAATAGCCAGCTTTAGGCTAAAAGTAGCTAATGACTAACTAAATGCTGAAGAAAACAGCAGAGTGATAGCGAAAAGCAGCAAAAGACGAGCTAAAATGTAAAAATAAAAAAAATGGGCTAGCTTAAAGCTAAAATATCCTAAATTAGCAGAAGGATAACTAAAATCTAAAAGTAACAAAAGGCTGGCTAAAAGAGTTAAAAGACTAGCTCAAAGCATAACATATCAAAAGGCTAACTAAAAGTTTAAAGTAGCAGAATGCAAGCTAAAAGTAGAAAAAATAAAAGCTAAAAGTAGCAAAAGGCTATCTAAAAGCTAAATCTTTCCAACAATTAGCATAACAGTAGCTAATAGCTATAATTGCTACAATGAGCAGAATGGTTATTAAAAGCTAAATGTAGTAAAATGCTAGCTAAAAGTAGCCAAACATTTTTTAAAAGGACAACAGATGGTGTTACCTTGGGCTATGTAGGAGGTTTTGCTAGGTTTCGCCTGTTTGCTCTCAGGCCTGGGTGTTGGTGCCGGCGGGCGATTGGCGATGACCACAGCTTTCTTTGAGTTCTGATTTGGGTTTGATTCATCGTTCTCCCCCAGCAGTGTGTAGAGATCATCTTCCTCAGCCTCTTCCTCCTCACCTTGCTGCTGCTGTGTGTTTGCACCTGTGATTGAAAAGGCCCCCAGAGTTAGCTGTAGTCTTTCAGCTACTTGTCCTGTCATTTCACAGCTGACAGGAAGCTACAGCTTAGATAAACGACTCCATTACAGACTTTCCTTCGTCCGCCTCGCTCACCTGCGTTGCACATCATTTCGTACACGCTGGCATCGATATTGTCCTCACCAGAGCTGAACATCTTCTGTAACAACAGGGTGTGAAGAAATGCATTTTATGCCTCACACAAATCAAACAAAAACAGCTCGAGGGGCCTAGCTTAAATTCAGAGTTTGTGGCTTTTTGTCAGTCTGCCTTGGTAAAAATGACGTTTATTTTAACGTTCACAAGTATTAGAATGTACACGTAGGACTTCGATAATATTGTGCTTCATTTTGCCAAAAGGTAAAAGTGGTTAATGGGTATTTTTAATGGGTATTTTTGCCTGTGGTTGTTTGTGTGTGAGTACTGTATACCTGGGTTTTCAGGACCTTATCTGGTATAATCACCTACATTGTCTGGACTGGTTGTCCTTATGGGAACCAAAGCCCAGTCTCAGTTTTTGTTAGGCTTATGGGTAAATTGTGAACTGCGTTTAGGTTACAGGTAGGATACGGGTCAGGGTTATGCTACAGAAATGAACGGAAGTCAATACCATTAAGATGGAAACTCGTGTGTGCAAGACATTTTATGAACCAGTTGCCAAATTTGAATGAAATCTTTGGAAAAGAATCAGTGAGTCTACATTAATGATTAACTTTTAGAGTCAGTTTGATTCGAAATGGCCGCCACAGCCTATTGAGCATCCATCCATCTGTTGCTTGTTCTGGAGCCAGGTTCACCAGGGTAGCTTCTTGAGCAGGGAGGCCCAGACATCTCATTCTACAGCCACCTCTTCAAGCTCTTCCGAGAAGATTCCAGGGCGCTCTTAGTGCAGCTGAGAATCACAGTCTCTCCAGCAAGTCCTGGGTTCTCCCCGGAGTCTACTCCCAGTTGGACATGCCCAGAAAACCTCCCTAGGGAGGCGTCCAGGAGGCATCCTTACCAGATGCCCTAACCTTCATCTGGTTCCTCCATGTGGAGGAGCAGCGGCTCTACTGAGTCTCACAACTGATAACTGAACTTCTCGCCCTGTTTCTAAAGGAAAGACCAACTACCCTGTGTGGAAAATGCATTTCGACCCTGTCTGTTCGTCATTTTGTTCTTTCAATCACCACCCAGATTTCAGGACCATAGCTGAGGGTAGGAACGTAGTCCAACTGGTAAACGGAGAGCTTCTTGCAGCTCAGCCTTCATCTTTACCACAACCTGTTTAGCATAACCATTAAAATGTCTCTAACCCTGTGAGTTTTACAGATATTGCACTAAACGTTAGTATGGTGGTATCTTAACGGCTTGTTCTTGAAAACTGATACTAGTCTTCTTTTCCATTTCTCAGGCGTCTGTCTCTAGGGTTCTGTTAAACAATCTTTCTGCCTCCACTCGCTGCCTGAATATTTACTGTTGTCATATGGCGTGTGACATTAATAATTAAGATTTCTCACATCCCGTAAAGACTTGTAACATGATGTTCAAGAGGTGTTCTGTAGAGCTGCCCGTTGTATAACACAAAGCACCTTTTTTTTCTTCTTTTAACGACAGAGCTGCTGCAGAGTATTTGCTAATTGCATGCTGGGAGACAGACAGGGCCATGATCAGGGTAATTATGAAATCAGACAATCTTCCCCTTTCAGTTCAAACGTATCATTTAGGAAGCAACACCGAAACCCTTGGCTTGATGTCAGACTGCATCCAGAATTAGACTGAAACACGAGTGAAGGTTTACTGCCACCATTCAGCTTCTGCTGGATGTGAAGATGTGAAAGGTTTGAACTAAAATCAATTCAACCAAGAGTTCCTTGACCTAATGTATACCGCCTGCCACCTTTCATGCAAGAGTTTCAAAATTATACCATCTTGTTCAGGGCTTAATTTGTAAATTGATTAATGCCAGAATGCAATGGCATGGCACAAGAAGTAGCCTGGCCAACAGCTCTCCTTGTGTGAATAGTATGGAATGAAATTGGTCTATAAAAGATTCATAAATTCATACAAGATTTTTATTCATACAGTAAGATCCACAAGCGTACAACAAGATTCACAAACTCGTACAACAATACAAATCTTGTATGAGTTTGTGAATTTTTTTAGACCACTTTCATTCCATAGAATGTAGACGCATTAGCTAAGATGCTACAGCTGTAGCGCTCTGCTTCTCTCACACATCCTAACACTCAACAACTGCCAGCACTAACGTGGTGCTAAGCTAACGTGCAAAACAGAGATGTTCCCCCTTCTCCCCCTGAGAGTGCCCTGCCAAGGCAGATGGGGAAACACTACGTGCAGTGTGGAGTTGTTGCAGGTAACCAGGAAAACCCGGAGTGGGTTTTTAGTGGTTTGAATAGCTCCTATTATTCAAGTGGAATGGATTTGTTCACAAAGAAATAGAAACAGCCGGTGGACTAATATTTTATGATGAATGTGTGTGAGTGGGGGGGAAGGGGGGTCCAAATGAATTTTTTTAAAATTTACATGGGGGGGTGGGGGCACGTCCCATGTCCCCATCACATATAATTGTTGCAATGCCTATGATTTAACATATAGCAGTCAGAGTATGTGTTGGAAATGGCTCTGGGCTACTACTAGAGTAGTCCCTCACTACTTCGCGCTTCGTTTTTCGTGGACTCGCTCTATCACGGTTTTTCAAAATACGATTGAACATGGCACACAATTGGCTGATAGATGGATGAGCCGCACGATCGGCATGGAATTTTTATTTAGAATAAATTATTTTTAATTATTTAGCACCTCTGTGCAGCCCACACTGCAGGATAAGCTTCCTGCTGCAGCTGATAGGCTGTTCTCCGTGTAGAGCGGAGAAATGGGCGTGGCCAAGAACGCTTGCAGGTGGCTGAGAGTAGCCGAGGCAGAGAGCTGAAATCATGACATTCTGTGCTCTTTTAGAGCGTTTAGAAACATTGTTTAGAATATTGCAAGAGTGTGGGAAGGGTTTAAAATGCCCTCTCTTTCTAAATATATATATATATGTATATATATATATATATATATATATATATATATAGTTAAATTATGCTCTGATGTGAAGCAGGGAGAGGAGGAGCACTCGTCATCCATTTCAGAAGGTTTTTATTTTACCCTTATGTAAAGTACAAAGATCACAGCCCTGGGCCATTGTAACTCCACCATGCGATCACAAACAATGGCCCCGAGTGTAAACTAGAAACCCATCTTCAGAGCTTGGCCACACCTCCCAGGAGGAGTCACCACCATCGACGAATGGGAATCCCTACTCTTATCATGTGACCCAGCTCTCAACAAATAATATCTGTCCATCTTATGTTTTATAATGGGTGGGTGCGTGAATGTTTGGGAGTTGTAGGCATGTAACTAAAACTACATTTTCTACCGGAAACTGAATCAGCTCGTGTTCTAACACAATATAATTCTAAATAGCAAAACTGGCTACATAAATCTAGACATTTCATTAAGTTAATATATAATCTGATATATATATATATATATATATATATATATATGCACTAAAAGAAACTATTGCTACTTGTACTACTATCCCTACTTGGCGTACAGTAGTCCCTGTGATAAACGAGGGACTACTGTACGCCATATTTTAGCTCATTGTTTGAAATTGTTCTTGTGTTAGCTAAAGTTGATTAGCTATTGCGATCATCTTAAATTGGATTGACTCCAAAAGTTAGTCAGCTGTAGATGTACATCCAAATGATCCTTAAATTACCTGCTGAGAATTTCGATAAAATCTCTTGAGTGGTCCACGAGATATTTTGCTAACAGACAAACACTCAGACCGAGAGCTAAGTCAGATTTCCTTTCATTTTAAATTACACCGTTGTGTTTGTCTGCGAAGCACAGCTGCGTCAGTACACTCCGGTTCTTTCACACAGCCAAGAAGACTCCATCTCAACACGACGCCGATTTTTGACTCTCCGAGTTAATTTAAAGTTTTTGAGAAAAGATTAAAAATTTTAAGACTTGAATTTTCTCAGTCCGGTGACAGCTGCATGGATCTGCAGAACACAGGAGATTATTGCTCACTTGGATGAAAATTTCACCATCCAGCGCCGCTCTCCCCGCTCTGCCGTTTCCAAGCAACACGGCCAATCATGACTCAATTACAGCGTTGTACCGTTCCTAGAACTGCAAATGAGCTATTGGCTGCCATGAATGCATTAATTGACAGTTGAGATTCTTTGCAGGCCCAACAGGTTGAGGGAGAGAGTTTATTTACCGCCGCTCGGACGTTGAATTTTAATGGTCAGCGCCATGTGACATTTTCCAAAGTAAATATCCCCAAGTAAGGGAGGGGAGTTTATTTACTGACCGCTAACGCTGAATTATTCTACAGATGTGTGAAGACTACAGTCCAGTCAAATTTAGCTTGCAGTCAAAACACTTTAGGATAAAAACAGGGAAAATGCTTTTGTTAAAGGTAGAAATTGTGAGTGGATCTAGCAGCTTCAGGATTAGGAGAGTAAATTTGTCTTCAGCAGCCGAAACATTCAAGCCTTGGCGTTCAACAGCGTGTTTTTTTTTTTTTTTAATAAAGTGGTTTCTGAGTGTTTGCAGCAAAGCAGACTGTAGAGAAACACTGAGCTCATCGTGCACAAGACTGTAGTCAAAATCTGTCCAACTTGCTTTTTTAGTGTAAGAAAAATAAAATAATTAATAAAAATAGCTCAGCTGCCATATTTCATACCCCAGGACAGTTTTTACCCAACAATGTGATTTTATTTTCTTTTTCAACAAAAGACATGTACTGGTATGTGTTAAAAGGGAGGGTTATTTTCCAAATTTGACTTGATATGAGAAGCTCTAAAACTAATTTTATTAAAAAAGAAAAATCCAAGGGTTATCATGGCGGGAAACTTACATCAAAACTCAAGAATAACAAAGGAGATAAGAAAGCTAAAACGCTCTTTCATAAAACCGTTCGCAAAATGGCTGTACAGACCAGTCTGCCATAATGCTCCCGGTCATTGAAAAATCACTGATAGATGCCTAAAGCAAAACTCACCTGTGTTGATGTAGAGCACAAATGAGTGATGGACGTCTCACTCATTTTTTTCAAAGCGTGACAAAATAACTCAGTTTAGCAAATCTCTGTAGTTA